GAGCACGATGGTTGGGGCACCGTGCTTGAGGTCGCGGAGAGGCAGCTCGTCCCCAGGCGCTGCAGCCCCATCGCCGACCGTGGCCCTGCGAGGACCTAGCGGTGGCTTGCTGGCGAGCTGGCCCGGTGGCCAACTGCCGCGTTGCGCTCTAAGACGCTACGAGGCCATCCCGAGGGCCAGCTCGGGGAGGATGCCGACCCCGCCTCCAAACGCGGACCCCCTCTCGCCGCGGAGCGCCACCAGGCGGAGACGCGGCGACGGCCGTGCGAGCGCTGTCGCCTGATCACCAACCAGTGTGGGCAGGTGGGAGGTTTGGGCTATGTCCACGGCGCGCCACGCTGACTTGCCGAGGGCGAGCCGACCGCTGCCGCGGTGAAGGCACTCGATATCATTGTCGGTTTCGTGAGGCAGAGGGCAACGGCGTGGGGGGCCCTGGCGCGGGCCAGATCTGGCACCTTTTACAACGGGCTGTCCGAGAAGCACCCTGGGCCTGGATGCTGCTTGAACTAGATGTGCCATTGGAATCGCGCGTGGAAGGAGCCCATCTAGCTGGCCAAGAAGACAAAGCTCCCGCGCGACCCTCAGGAAACAGTGGCGGTGGATTCCGCCAGGCGGGGAGCTGTCTGGCAAGTTGGGAACGGATGTTAGCAGGCAGTGCGGTTGGAAGATGAAATTGTAAGCAGGCGACGGCAGCAGGCAAGCCAACTCTAAAACATCGAGGTGAACCATCTGCGCGCCTGATGCACGAGCAACACGTGGAAAACGCGCCCCGGCATCGGCGGCTGGCACTTCTGGCGCCTCGGCTGGCTCAGCGATGATTGCCCTGGGCCGCCCGGCCCGGGTCCTTGCGGCGCGCGAGGTCATGCGCTTCTGCCCCGCCGCGATCCGCGAGCTGATTCTCATCCTGGTGGTGAATTAGGACGGCGGCGGCAGGCCGCCCACCCTCTTCCTGGAAATCTCCCCCACGCCTTTCCGAATCCGGGAGGCGACGAGAGACCCTGTCATCCGTGGATGGGCCCCGTGGATGGGAGGCCAGACACATGCGGCCCTTCGACTGGGCGGTGCCTGGCAGGAGCAGCGAGGGCGCGGGGTGTAGATCCATGCGATAGACGACGAGTCCATGCAGGGCGCGACGTTCCAGTCGGTCGCGGCGATGCCTGGCTTTGAACAGGCATGCATGTACGTTCTCTTGAATGTCATGTGGCACCTCGGGGCGTCGCAGCAGGTGCCTGCGGGTAGACGCGTGTCCTGGCGCTGTCCCCAGAGCCCCTGGCCCCCCTGGGGCCGGCGTGGAAGGCACGTGCAATCGCCTGCCCTGCGCGCAGGTGAGCCTCCCGGCAGGGCCCAAGTTTGCAGGTTGACTTCGGACGGCGGAGCTGCATCCGACCCTCGACCCAGCGCAGGCATGGCCTGGGTCGAAGATGGACATCGCCAAATACGTTGACGTGACATCGCGGTTCTCGTCGTCGGCGCCAACATGCAGCTTAGCAACAGATTCCCAGAGGCCGTCGCCATGATCGCCTGGCCATTGGAGCATACCATGGCGATGAAGCTGTCCAACGGCCAGCGGGGAAAGTCCAAGCACGTCGCCAGCTCCGAGGGCATGGCCAGCTAACTCAAGCCAAAGCCAGAGAAGCACGGCCTAGAATTTCCGGAGCATGAGACATATCGACTACACGTAAGAGTGACCTTTCGCCAGAGTGACTTTTGGTGCTGGCCCAAGTGGGGTCGGGTGATTTTTCTTGTGGAATGAGGTCGACCTCGCGTCGGCACCCGCGTCGCGCGATTACGCTCGCATCTGAGCGCGCCAGGTTTGGGCCCGCCCCTGGCAGTCGACAGCAACGCAGACACATCGCGCCCTGCAGCTTGCATTGGTTACCCGGGGGGGCCGTCGACCAGACGGCGCGTTTTCCGGCCCAGGATCAGTCCCGAATTCCAGCCCAAATCCGAAAACGTGTGTCTTGAATCTCTTTGGATAGCTTTGGATATCTTTGAGTATCTTTGAATGCCTTTGAATATGGTTCTTGAATCAATAAGGATCTTTATTTCTATAAGTTAACCAAAGATATTCAAACATATCCCTGGCTCTCGGATGGGAATGGTTTTGGCCATGGCGCCGGGCCTGGTCAGACGTCATCGCGACGCAGCGCAGCAGTGCCAGACTTCCTCGCGGTGGCCCCCGGCAGCGTCTGCTTTTGCAGCGCCTTCGAAGTGCCATTCGGGGCGCTCGAATTAAATCGGCGGACTTCCGCGGTTGCCCGCTGGCGCCGCGAATCTCTCGGGCGGCGCGCCGCCGATCGTTCATGCGGCGCGGCAACGCCGGCTTGCGCGATTGCGCATGGCCCCCGCGGGCGCCCCTGAAGCCGCGCGCCACAGGTCACTCTAGGCCAGGGTCACTCCCACGCGTAGTCGAACATAGATGGGCGCGGGCTACCAACCGCGAGGGCGGCGGGGGAACGCCGCTCGCGAGAAGCGGATGCGCGTCGCTTGAGGGGGGCGGTGGAAGGCTGCTTCGAGCAGGACCTCATGGCCCCCACCACACGCGGTGCCTCCTGCAGAGGGCCGTCGGCTTCGATCATGTCCTTTTTAGAGCAGAAGTGCGGAGCTGTCCGCGCTGGGCTTGGAGCTCGCAGGTCGGGCGCGCTGGGATGGGGCGTCGCTTCTTGCGCTGACGGAGCCGAGCAGCCGGGGCCGGCGCTTCCCGCGGCTTGGCGGGCCCAGGAGGCGCTGGCCCACCCCGAGAGGCGCAGGGTGATGGCGCAAGCATGGAGGCGACAGGTCCCTTGCACTACGCGCGAGCTAACAGCGGCCCCCCCTGTGGAATTTGAATTGATGCGCGCGCAAGTTGCCCGGGGGCCCGCGGCAGCCGCGGTGGATGCGGCGCGCGAGCTGCGCTGGGAGATGGCGGCCACCTGGCGCGTCGGGCGGGGCGAAGAGGCCGCTGGCATCGACGTCTGCGAGGCGCCGCCCGGGGAGCTGATCCGCGGGGCGGAGGTGTCCATCGAGACCAAGGGGCTCTTCGACTGGGCCCGCGCGACGGACGGAGGGTCGCCTCCGCGGCGGGCGCCGCGGCAACTTCCGCTCCAGCGGGTCATGGGCGCCAGCGTGGACGACGCAGAGTTGGCGAGGCGCCGCGTCAATTGCGCGCGAGCGGCGGCGTTGAAAGGGCGCCCCTCCGCAGATACGGTGCTGCATGCCAAATTCACGGGGACATCTGCCCGCGCTGCGAGGAGGCCCCAGGCCCGCGCTGCGCGCGCGCCACGGGTGCGAGGCGCGCGCGCGCGAGCGCCTCGCTGGCGCGAGAAAGAATAATGGTTCGAGGGGCGTCGTCAATCTGGGCAGCGCAGCTGCTAGCGATGAGACGTCTGCCAGTGAGATCAAATGGGCTCGAGGGCTCGCTGCCAGCCCAGAGTTTGGCTGCCTTGTCCCTGCCCGACCCGACGCATCCCAGATTGGAGATGAGGGCGTCCTTCCCGCTCTGCCAGGTTGGGCGGCGGTGGGCGGCAGCGCGCTAAATCATGACATCGAGGAGTCGTTCGTTGGAGGCTTTGCGGCGGCGTCCTGGGGCGCGGAGAAGAACTTAGAGGCCCGGGCGGTTTTTGGTCCCGTTTCTCTCGCCCGACCGACCCCGCCCCTGTGTGCAATGTGAGCCGTCTTTCAGGCCGTCAGGCACTCCGTCGGCCTCCAGGGACTCACCGAAGAAGTGAAGCATACTGTGGACGGGCTCCTCGAAGGGAGGGCCTTTCGCGTTGCGTAAGATCAGATCCCGACACATCTCTGGCGACCGGCATAGTGTGTTCTGGACGACCAGGGTTTCGCGCCTGGAGAATCCTTGCCCGCGGTCAAGATTGAGTCACGCATGATTGCTCCTCAGCGGCGGGCCCAGGGGCCCAGGGGGCCCGCCAATGCCTCATGAGTGAGGCGTCGGGCAAGCGCGCGAGGGAAGGGGTCGAGACCCGCGCCCCTCCACGCTGGAAAGTAGACCAAGCGAGGAACGCCTGTAAGCTGCAGCGCCGAGTCCTCAGTTTCATAGGCGGCTTCAAAGTTGAGCCCAACAGCAACAAGGTGATGATAGCCTCCCTCCCGCCCAGTCGGTCTCGGAGAGGTGAGCGATGTCGCCGCCCAGCTGCTGCTCGTGCGCGCGGTCCTGGCCGCGGGTTTAAACTGGTCGATGGAGGCGCCAGTGACAGCGTTGCGGGTGCACTGGGCTTGTCTAGTTCGCCGCCAGACTCGCTCTTGCCAAGCACGAAACCTGTCCTGGCTGAGGGGGGGGGGGGGAATTTTGCAAGAGGGGGGGCGCGGTTGAAGTCTAAGGCCTCGCTTCGGGGCGAGGGCGCGCTGGACGCTACGCGGAGCTCGGCCTCAGAGGCCGCCCGCGGATCAGACCCCCAGCTTAACCCTCCTCCTCCGCGGGAGCACGATGTCGTGGAGATGGCGGGCTACGTCGGATCTGTGGGACTCTCGCGCGTTCCCGTGCCCAACGACTGCTTCTGGAGTGTTATGTCCCAGTGCGTAAGAAGGTGTCCGCCCATAAGCGTCGGCGCCGATGACGTGACCGTATCCTGACTGGTCGGGACCCTTACGCGGGTTTGACCGTGAAGGACGATTCACGGTCTGTTGGATCCCATCCTTACGCGATCCTCGCTCGGGGGTGCGCGTCCGACGCGTTTGCTCCTGATTCCAATCCCTAAGCGACCCTCGCTCGGGAAAGATGTCCTTGGCCAAGCTGACGTGCGGTTCAGAGGCCCGCCTGCGTAGCCGCCCAATCGAAAAGAGAACGAGGGTGATGAGAAGGAGGATGGGGGGGAATGATGAGGAGGAGGCAGATGAGGAGGAGGAAAAGGAAAAGTAGGAGGCGGAGGAGGAGGAGGAGGAGGAGGAGCAGGAGGAGGAGCAGGAGGAGGAGCAGGAGGCGAGGCTCGCGGGCTCGAGGCTCGTTCCCTGGGAGGGGCCCGGCGGTCATGAGCCGCGGGGCCGGGCGCCGGGGCGCCCCGGGCGAGGGGCCGCCCGCGACGCCCGCTGGGCTGCGGGGCCGGCCGGCCGAGACGGCGGCGGCCCTCGCGGTTTTGGGCCTCGGCGCCGCAGCGGCGGAACGGAAGGCTCGGGGAGGGGCGATCGCACCCTCGTTCTCATCTCTTCGGGGGGGGGAGGGGCTCGCGGAGGGCACAGCAAGGAACGACCCTCATTCTCTTCCTCGTCCTCCTCCTCCTCCTCCTCTCCCTCCGCCTCCTCCTCCCTCCTCCTCCTCCTCCTCCTCCTCCTCCTCCTCCTCCTCCTCCTCCTCCTCGTCTTCCTCTTCCCGATCCTCGCTCGTCGTCGTAACCTTCCTCCTCCTCCTCCTCCTCCTCCTCCTCCTCCATCCTTCCATGCTTCCTTCCATGTTTCATCCTTTCTCCTCTTCCATGTTCATCTTGGTTTTTTGGGCACAAAACACCCAGACCCCCACCGAGTCATGGGAAACTCTCGACGGGAGGTTTTTCGCCAGTTTCGGCTTCTGGCCCCCCCCAGAGCGGGCCTCGGGACCGCCAAGGGAATGAGTCAGGATGAAAAACCAGTCCTGGGGAAAGGGTCGAGACCTCTGGGGCCGACGTTTGAAACAAAGTTTGCCTGGCGAAGGACCCAACCATATGCAGTTGTGAGCACCGTCGTTGTATGCACCGCGTTCCGAGGAGCTCCCTATATGGCCACGAAACTTGCGAGGGGTGTGCCAAGATTTGTCCCGTGGGCGCATGCGAAAGCAGCCCTTGGGGCCGTCGGTGGACTTCCTTATGGGACCACGAAACGCGTGAGAGGTGTGCCAAAATAACTGCGGTGGGCGCATGCGAACGCAGCCACTGGCGCCGTCGGTGGAGCTCCCTATGGGGCCGCGAAACGTGTGAGGGGTGTGCCGAAATGGGTGTGGGTGACGCATGCGCGCGGTGGCACTGGGGCCTTCGGTGGAGTTCCCTATGGGCCCACGAAGCGTGTGAGGGGTGCGTTGTAATGGTTGTGGATGACGCATGCGGGCGGTGGCACTGATGCCTTCGGTGGAGCTCCCTGTGGGGCCACGAAACGTGTGAGCGGTGTGCCGGAATGGGTGTGGGTGACGCATGCGCGCGGGGGTACTGTGGCTTTCGGTGGAGCTCCCTATGGGGCCACGAAGCGTGTGAGGGGTGCGCCGAAATGGGTGTGGGTGACGCATGCGGGCGGTGGCACTGGGGCTTCGATGGAGCTCCCTGTGGGGCCACGAAACGTGTTAAGGGTGGGGCGAAAATGGATGTGGGTGACGCATGCAGGCAATGGCACTGGGGTGTTCGGTGGAGCTCACTATGGGGCCACGAAGCGAGAGGGATGTGCCGAAATGGTGTGGGTGACGCATGCGGGCGGTGGCACTGGGGCCTTCGGTGGAGTTCCCTTCGGGGCCACGAAACGTGGGAGGGGCGAGCCGACATGGGTGTGGGTGACGCATGCGGGCGGTAGCACTAGGGAATTCGGTGGAGCTCCTGGGGCCACGAAACGTGTTAAGGGTGGGGCGAAAATCGGTGTGGGTGACGAATGCGGGCCGTGGCACTGGGGCCTTCAGTGGAGCTCCCTATGGGGCCACGAAGCCTGAGGGGTGTGTCGAAATGGGTGTGGGTGACGCATGCGCGCGGTGGCACTGGGGCTTTCGATGGGGCTCCCTATGCGGCCACGAAGCGTGTGAGGGATGTGCCGAAATCGGTGTGGGTGACGCATGCGGGCGGTGGCACTGGGGTCTTCGGTGGAGCTCCCTATGGGGCCACGAAACGTGTGAGGGGTGCGCCGAAATGGGTGTGGGTGACGCATGCGCGCGGTGCCACTGGTGCTTTCGGTGGAGCTCCTTATGGGGCCACGAAGCCTGAGGGGTGTGTCGAAATGGGTGTGGGTGACGCATGCGGGCGGTGGCACTGGGGCCTTCGATGGAGCTCCCTATGGGGCCACGAAACGTGGGAGGGGTGTGCCGAAATTGGTGTGGGTGACGCATGCGGGCTTTGGCACTGGAGTCTTCGGTGGAGCTCCCTATGGGGCCACGAAACGTGTTAAGGGTGGGGCGAACATCGGTGTGGGTGACGAATGCGGGCCGTGGCACTGGGGCCTTCGGTGGAGTTCCCTATGGGGCCACGGAACGTGTGAGGGGTGCGCCGAAATGGGTGTGGGTGACGCATGCGGGCGGTGGCACTGTGGCCTTCGGTGGAGCTCCCCATGGGGCCACGGAACGTGTGAGGGACGTGCCGAAATGGGTGTGGGTGACGCGTGCGGGCGGTGCAGGGAGGAGGGGAGGAGGAAGGAAAGAGGGAGAGAAGGAAGGAAGGCAGGAGGGAAGGAGGAAGAACGCGGGGACCGTCTCTTCAAAACGAGGACCCAACACCACAGGATGGTTGGGAATCAAACAGAAGCAAACTTAGCTTGACGAAGGACCCAACCATAAGCAGCTGTGGATGCCGCATTCTGAGCCCCTCGTTCTATGAGGCCCTCGGTGGAGCTCCCTATGAGGCCGCGGCCAGTGTGAGGGGTGTGCCGAAATGGGGCGGGGCCGCCATGCGAACCTTGCCACTGACGCCTTCGGTGGAGCTCCTTATGAGGCCACGAACCGTGTGAGGGTGCGCCGATGTACGGCGGAGCCGCCATACGAACCCTACCAATGGCGCCCTCGGTGGCCTATGGTGCCACGATCTTCGTGAGGGGTGTGCCGAAATGGCCAGAGGCCGCCATGCGAACCCTGCCACTGGCGCCTTCGGTGGAGCTCCCTATGGGGCCACGATCCTCGTGAAGGGTGTGCCGAAATGGCCCGAGGCCGCCGTGTGAACCCTGCCACTGGGCCTTCGGTGGAGCTCCCCATGGGGCCACGTTCCTCGTGAGGGGTGTGCCGAAATGGCCAGAGGTCGCCATGCGGATCCTGCCACTGGCGCCTTCGGTGGAGCTCCCATGGTGCCACGATTCTCGTGAGTGGTGTGCCGAAATGGCCCGAGGCCGCCATGCGAACCCTGCCACTGGGTCATTCGGTGGAGTTCCCCATGGGGCCACGATCCTCGTGAGGGGTGTGCCGAAATGGCCCGAGGCCGCCATGCGACCATTTGCGCCTTCGGTGAGGCTCCTATTGGGCCCCGATCCGTGTAAGGGGTGCGCCGAAATGGCCCGAGGCCGCTATGCGAACCCTGCCGCTGGCGCCTTCGGTGGAGCTCCCTATGGGGCCACGATCCTCGTGAGGGGTGTGCCAAAACGGCCCGAGGCCGCCATGCGAACCCTGCCACTGGGGCCGTCGGTGGAGCTCCCTCTGGGGCCACGATTCTCGTGAGGGATGTGCCGACATGGCCCGAGGCCGCCATGCGAACCCTGCCACTAGGGCCTTCGATGGAGCTCCCTATGGGGCCACGCAACGCTGTACTGGGTGGGTGAAACGCTGGGAGGAAGGAGGAGGGGGAGGAGGGAGGAGGGGGAGCAGGAGGGAGGAAGGAGGCGGGAGGAGGAGAACGCGTGGATCGTTTCTTCAAAATGAGGACCCAACACCACAGGATGGTTGGGAAAAACATGACGCTGGGGAACCACATCCACAACTAAGAGGATTTTTCGGGAGGGCCCCATGGGGGGAGTTCCCATCGATCTTCGCAATGGCACTTTGGTTGTGGTTGTTGTCGATTTGGCCGTCCTGGGCCACATCGGCCACAACCAGGACGAAGCTAGTTTCGGTGTTCCAGCAATGTTTGGCATGCGCAAGACATCCCCAGAGTGTGTCCCCGATATGGTTGTGGTACATCGGAGGGGAAAGATGGGTTGAGGACTAGTTCTCGGCAGTTCACGGGGAGCTTCAGCACGACAGTGAATCTGGGGCTGGGCGATCACATCGGAAGGGGGCGAAGCGGAGGCTTAGGACTAGTCTGCGGCAGGTCCCTCGAAGAGCAAGACAAGGCATAGACCTACATGTGCGGAGCTCCGCGCGGATCTCTTGGATCGGCGCCGGGCCCCCTCGGCGCGCTCGGCGCGCCAGGGAGGGGGGTCCAGCACCGATCCGAGCACTCCGCGCGGCCCTCGGAGAAATCTATGCCGCTGCCGTGTTTGCGCTCCCCTGCAGATGTTTTTTTTGATTCGCGGCCCGCAAGGAAAAGTCCAGAGGGCGGTAAGAACGAGGCTGGGACAGCAGCGCCCGGGAAGCAGATAATTAACGGCGCAGCACTGAGCCGGCCGAGAAGCAGCTGAACGTGTGCCAGCAGCAAAAGATCCCCTGCAGATGTGCGGAGGGCCAGCTTTCGGAGGTGTTCGGCGGTGGCGAGGAAGGGCCCGCCCGCCAGCGCCTCCGGGGCGCTGAAGCTGCCCCGCAGGGAAGGGGTCGGGACCCCCTGGAGCCGCGCCTCGCCATCGGAGGGGAGCGGAGGGGGCCCGACTCCAGGCCTCCCAGCTCGGGTCGGAGGAGGTGGCGTCGGAGGATCGCGCCGCATCGCCGACGCATCTGCGAGGCGGCTCGGTGCGGGGCCCGATCTTCTTCACGCCGGCATCGCCGATGCATCGGCGATGCATCGGCGATCCATCGACGATGCGGCGCGATCCTCCAAGCCTCCCCCCCCATCTATTCCGACGCAATCTTGGGGGCCTCTACTGCTTTTTTGGGGGGACGGCTCGAGGCTCGAGCTTCGAGGCTTTCGCGTGTGTTCGTAGGTTGCTGGAGGCTTTCCTGCCTCGGGGTGCGTTCCAGCAGCTGTGCCTCGGCGAGGGCGTTCGATTGTGACCGGATCGTCCCGAACGGCCTCCAAGGGCCCGAGGCATGGTTAGAATGCTACACCCTGATTCTGGAATGGCCGTACTCTGGGCGATTCCGCACGTAGGGCGGAAATCCCCGCCCTCTTGTTCACCTCCTCGGATGTCGATTTCGGCCCTGCACCTGTGTTTCGGGCCCCGCGGCCATCAAAAGTGATCCCGAATCGAACCACTGCGCCCAGGCAAGGGGTCGGTAGGTTTTGTTCCGCGGAGTGAGGAACACATGTCGGAGGATGCCTTGGAAAGGGGGGGGAGAAGTCTCCAGCACGCATGCGGCTGGTTTCGGCCCCGCCGCCGGTCGCCTTTCCTGGATAGAAGTGCGCATCTTCGCCGGGATGCGCCAGGAAAGCCAGCTACGTGAGATGGATCGCTGTAGGGGACCCACGGGGGCGCGACGATCAATTGCGCCTCGCGCGTTGCGGTCTGGGCCAGAGCGACTGCCCTCGTTCATGTCGGCGCTGCGAGGGCGCAAGGTCGCGAAGATGATCGCGCGTCGCGCATCGCGGGTCGCGATGCGCGAAGATCGGTGGCCTAGTTTCGCTGAGCTCTCCTTTCACACCCTCCCCCAGGTAATGATAATGACCGTTACGGTGGGAGGTGTCCATTAAAGAATTTGCCCAGGAGGCTTCAGACATCTTGAGACTCTCTGGATGATTCCCTATCTGATGACGGCGGCGGTGATCTCCATGGCAGCTCCACGATTGGTGCCCCTCCCGCTTTTCGGACCCTGGACTCCCGAGCCGACGGTTCCTTTGTCCGATGCCCTCGCCGTGCCCGAGAATGCAATTCTTGAAAGCAGCATTCATTGACGTGAGCCGACTCTCTGAGCTCCAGTAGATCGACAATAGATTCGAACCCTTACCCATTCGAGGGAGATTATAAATCACCCCCGCGCCCTCGACATCAATGTTGATCTCAGTAAAGGCGGTGCTTTGGGGTTCGAGTATTTCTGTCCACTCACGCCCCCCCGTCGCCACGCCATCAGTATTGATTTCGGGGGGTCGGGGGCATTTTGGGCCACAGGGTTCGAATAGAATATCCGCCGTGCGGTCCCCTCTCGTACCCTTGAGCTCCCCTCTCGTACAGGCGGCCGGGATGAGCAGGTCGACCCTGCCCAATCGAGGGTACCCTCGTGAAATTGTGTCTCGCGACGAACGCCTCCTGCAGCTCTGTGGCAACGTGGCCCTCGGAAGGGTCTTGTGTCCTCTCGCGTGTCCTCTCCAATCAAGTCCGACTGGAGGGAGGGGGAAGGGAGGGAGGGGGGGGAGGGAGGGGGAGGGAGGGAGGGAAGGAGGAGGAGGAGGGAGGAGGAGGAGGGAAGGAGGAGGAGAGGAGGAGGAGGAGGAGGAGGAGGGGAGGAGGCCCCCCCCGTTGCGAGCCCTGCCCGAGAGGCGGGCCTCTTCGCGGAGGCGGCGCGGCGCCTGGAGCGGACCTCTCGGAGGGGGGCCGGCCGAGGGGGCGGCAGCGGCGGCCCCCCCCCGATCCTCCTCCTCCTCCTCCTCCTCCTCCCTCCTCCTCCTCCTCCTCCTCCTCCTCCTCCCCCTCCTCCTCCGCCCTCCGCCCTCCGCCCTCCTCCTCCTCCTCCTCTTCCTCCTCCTCCTCCTCCTCCTCCTCCTCCTCCTCCTCCCCCTCCTCCTCCGCCCTTTAAAACGACGCGAAGATCGGGACAAAATCGGATCGGGATAACTCGAAATCTCTGAGAATCGGCGGGTTTGGAGGATGTATTGGGCGCCGGCGGCCGCTCCATAGCGTTCCGGAACGCTCTGAGAGCGCTCCGGAACGCTCTGGAGCGATTTATCCCGATCCTAGCTTTGTTTTACCCTTTTGGCGCACATGCTGCTCATCTCTAAGTCTTCGAAAGTTCTTGGATTTTTTGGGGGGCCAAGGTCCTTTCATTTCTAATTACATACTCTATCCTGGGCCTCTTCCTGGCCACTGGGGGGCCAGGAACAAACAGAAACCAGCAGAAGTAGAAATGAGCACGATTCGAAATGAACGACGTGTAGATTTTTGCTGCTCTCGGGGCCTCGGTCGGCGACCACGAAGGCGAGAAAGACGAATTGCTATCGGGTTGGGGGGAGTGGGCCTGGGAGAAGAGATCTGAGCATGCGCATGAGGCAGTCGCGCCCTGGATCTTCCCGATCCCTTGCTCCCATCGGCACGAACGAAATAGGTACGGAAAGAATGGGTACAATGCCCAACAGCAGTTCCTCCTCATTTTGAACCGGACTCGCTGTCCACGCCGCCGCGGCCTGTGTCCATTCGAGACAGAAGGCCGCCTGCCCAACAGCGGCCGCTGTTGGTTTGGGACAACATGTGTTGTTGGGCAGTGTACCCATTTTTGTCCGTACTCATTTCGGGCGTCCAAATCCCAGCACGAGAAGTGTCTTTCTCGGAAGGTGTGGTTGCGCCGGGGGGGGGGGGGGGGCGACCTGCGTCGTGGAGGCTTGGGGGGGCACCGCGTTGCCCTCGTCGGGCCTCCTCGCGGCGCGGCGGAGATCTCTGCCGTGGTCCTCGCCCGCCCCCCCCCCCCTACGCGCGGCTTGCAAGCCACACCCTTTGCAAACTGCACCCCTCGGAGTCGCCGATCATCAGGGCCAACGTTGGAGGGGGGGACGGGCCTGGGGGGGGGGTAGCGACAGGTTCGAGGTGTGCGGTTCCCGATCGTTCTCATCGGTTCTCGGTGGGGCGAACGACTCCGTCGACGTCCTCGCCCGCTCCCCGGGCTGTGGGTTGCAGGCCGCACCCGCTGCAGGCCACACCCTCCGGAGTCGTCGGCTCGATCCCTCGGGGTCCCTCGCTCGCCGCCGCGGCTGGATCCGCTTCGAGGAACCCAGACATCTGGCGCCTCGAGGGCATCGAGCGTTTTCGTAGCTTCCTCTGAGGCCTCCACCCCCGCAATTCGAGGTTTCTGGGCGGCAGGTTCGAGAGCTCGAGGCTCTCGGGCGATTTCGTCCGCTCGTTGCGGTATTCCAGCCTCGGGATGCGTTCCAGCAGCTGCGCCTCGCCAAAGGCGTTCCAGGGGTGCCTGGATCGCCCCGAACGGCCGCCGGCGCGGCTGGATCCGCCTCGAGGAACCCAGACATCAGTGTCTCGAATTAGCCTGGCGAAGAACCAAACCATGTGCAGTTCTGAGTGCCGCATTTGTGTATGGTCTTCCGTTGAGCTCCCTGTGGGGCCACGAAACTCTGTACTGGATAGGGGAGAGACCTTGCGAACCGCGCCACTGGGGCCGTCGGTGCAGCTCCCTCTGGGGCCACGAAGCGCTGTACTGGGTGGGGGAGACGCATGCGAACTGCGCCACTGGGACCTTCGGTGAAGCTCCCTATGGGCCACGAAGCGCTGTACTTAGTGGGAGAGACGCATTGCGAACTGCGCCACTGGAACCTTCGGTGGAGCTCCCTCTGGGGCCAGGGAGCGTTGTACTGGATGGGCGAGACGAATGCCGTGCGGACTGCGCCAGTGGGACCTTCGGTGGAGCTCCCCCTGGGGCCACGAAGCGCTGTACTGGGTGGAGGAGGCGCATGCGAACTGCGCCACTGAGACCCTTTGGTGGAGCTCCCTCTGGGGCACGAAGCGCTGTACAGGGTGTGGGAGACGCATGTGGGCTGCGCCAGTGGGACCTGAGGTGGAGCTCCCTCTGAGGCCACGAAACGCTGTTCTGGGTGGGGGAGACGAACTGCGCCACTGAAACCTTCGGTGGAGCTCCCTCTGGGGCCACGAAGTGCTGAACTGGGCGGGGGAGGCGCATGCGAACTGCGCCACTTCGGTGGAGCTCCCTCTGAGGCCACGAAGCGCTGTACTGAGTGGGGGAGGCGGATGCGAACTGCGCCACTGGAACCTTCGGTGGAGCTCCCCCTGGGGCCACGAAGCGCTGTGCTGGGTTGGGGGGAGACGCATTCAAACTGCGCCACTGGGACCTTCAATGGAGCTCCCGATGGGGCCACGAAGCGCTGTACCAGGTGGGGGTGACGCATGCGAACTGCGTCACTGGGACTTTCGGTGGAGCTCCCCATGGGGCCGAGAAGCGCTGTATTGGGTGTGGGAGACGCATGTGGGCAGCGCCACTCGGGCCGTCGATGGAGCTCCCTTTGGGGCCACGAAACGCTGTACTGGGCGGGGAGACGCATGCGAACTGCGCAACTGTGACCTTCGGTGGAGCTCCCTATGGGACGAAACGCAGTGCTGGGTGATGATGATGACGACAACGACGAGAACAGATGGAGGGCAGAGGCAGGGACGGGAGGAAGGAGGAATGGGCAGCGGGAGGAAGAGTGACGCGGGGCGCTGTCTCTTCAAAACGAGGACCCATCACCACAGGATGGTTGGGCACAAATCGAGGCGCTAGAAGTAGCCTCCTTCCAATAAGTTGTTTTACTTCCCCTACCCGCTTGTGCGCCCCGCCAATGTGGGATGGTGCCGCTTTTCTTTCTTCCTTCGGCACCGGAAGTTGCCTAGGTGCCCTGACTCCAGATCCGCTGTGCGCTGAGCGATTTCGTGAGTCGGGCGGAGAGTTCCGCCCGACCAAATTGGTTATGCTCCTGATGCCGATTTCCGCCTACCTTACCGTCGCCGTGTCCGCCCTACTCTGCGGATGCCGAAATTTCCCCCATGGTTGTTCGCCTCGTTCGGGGTGCATTCTCGACACATTTCTTCTAATCCGGAAAAGGCTTAGCCTTGCGAGGGACCCAACCATATGCAGTTGTGAATGCCGCAGCTGTTGGTATCGTCTTCGGTGGAGCCCACTTGTAGGGCCACGGAACGTTGTCTTGGATCGGGGAGACGCGTGCGGACGGAAAGCGCCACTGGAACCTTTGGTGGAGCTCCCTATGGGCCACGAAACGCTGTACTGGGTGGGGGCAGAGTACTGGGTGGGGGGCAGACGCATGCGACCTGCGCCACTGGGACCTTCGGTGGAGCACCCTATGGGGCCACGAAGCGCTGTACTGGACGGGGGAGACGCATGCGGGCTGCGCCACTGGGACCTTCGGTGGAGCTCCCTCTGGGGCCACGAAGCGCTGTAATGAGTGGGGGAGGCGCCTGCGGGCTGCGCAACTGGGACCTTCGGTGGAGCTCCCTATGGGGCCACGAAACGTTGTACTGGGTGTGGGAGACGCATGCGGACTGCGCCTCTGGGACAGTCGCTGGAGCCTCCATATGGGGCCACGAAGCGCTGTACTGGATGGGGGAGCCGCATACGGGCTGCGCCACTGGGGCCTTTGGTGGAGCCCCCTATGGGGCAACGAAGCGCTGTACTGGGTTGGGGGAGGCGCATGCGGGCTGCGCTTCTGGGACAGTCACTGGAGCTCCCTACTATGGGGCCACGAAACGTTGTACTGGGTGGGGGAGCCGCAAACGGGCTGCGCCACTGGGGCCTTTGGCGGAGCTCCTTATAGGGCCACGAAGCGCTGTGCTGGGTTGGGGGAGATGCATGCGGGCTGCGCCACTGGGACCTTCGGTGGAGCTCCCTATGAGGCCACGAAGAGCTGTAATGAGTGGGGGAGGCGCCTGCGAGCTGCGCAACTGGGACCTTCGGTGGAGCTCCCTATGGGGCCACGAAAACGTTGTTTTGTGTGTGTGTGTGTGTGTGTGTGTGTGTGTGTGTGTGTGTGTGTGTGTGTGTGTGTGTGTGTGTGTGTGTGTGTGTGTGTGTGTGTGTGTGTGGGAGACGCATGCGGGCTGCGCCTCTGGGACAGTCGCTGGAACCCCCATATGGGGCCACGAAGCGCTGTACTGGATGGGGGAGCCACATACGGGCTGCGCCACTGGGGCCTTTGGTGGAGCCCCCTTTATGGGGCAACGAAACGCTGTACTGGGTTGGGGGAGACGCATGCGACCTGCGCCACTGGGACCTTCGGTGGAGCTCCCTATGGGGCCACGTAGCGCTGTACTGGGTGTGGGGGACGCATGCGGGCTGCGACAGTGGGACCTTAGGTAGAGCTAGCTCCCTACGGGGCCACCAAACGCTGTACTGGGTGTGGGAGACGCATGCGGGCTGCGCCTCTGGGACAGTCAGTGGAGCTCCCTACTATGGCGCCACGAAGCGTTGTACTGGGTGGGGGAGACGCATACGGGCTGCGCCATTGGGGCCTTTGGCGGAGCTCCTTATAGGGCCACGAAGCGCTGTGCTGGGTTGGGGGAGGCGCATGCGGGTTGCGCCACCGGCAGCTTCGGTAGCGCTTTCTATGGCCACGAAGCGCTGTACTGGGTGGGGGAGACACATGCGGACTGCGACAGTGGGACAGCTGGTTGAGCGCCCTACGGGGCCACGAAACGCTGCATTGTGTGTGTGTGAGAGAGAGAGAGAGAGAGAGAGAGAGAGACGCATGCGGGCTGCGCTACTGGGACCTTCGGTGGAGCTCCCTATAGGGCCACGAAATGTTGTATCGGGGGAGCGTAAGACCCGGGTTTGCCGGGACTCGGGTTCGCCATCGTTTTTTGACGACCGCGCCTCAGATTTTGACGAGGAGGAGTTTCGTGGGATGTCTGCAGCGGGAGGCCTCGTCAAAATGCAGGCTCGGCCTCGTCATTTTTTTGACGACCTCGTCGGGGATTTCCGAGTCCCCTGTACCCAGGTCTTACGTCCCCCTGATTGTACTGGGTGGGGGAAACGCATGCGACCTGCGCCACGGGGACCTTCGGTGGAGCTCCCTATGGGGCCACGAAGCGCTGTACTGGATGGGGGGACGCATGCGGCCTGCGCAATTGGGACCTTCGGTGGAGCTCCCTATGGGGCCACGAAGCGATGTGCTGGGTGGGGGAGACGCATGCGGGCTGCGCCACTTGGACCTTCGGTGAAGCTCCCGATGGAGCCGCTGCACGCTGTAGTTGGTGTGTGGGGGGGGAGCGCAGGGACGAGGAAGGAGGGGAGGCGGAAGGAGGAGCAGGAGGGAGACGCGGGGCGCTGTCTCTTCAAAACGAGGACCCAACACCACGGGATGGTTGGGAAATCATGACGTCGGGGGTTTGGGGCTGGAGAGCCTCCATGAGCCATCGGAAACTCCTGCACGTTTGCGAACTGGCACTCGCACGCTCTTCGCGCCCCTGTGCCTCCTCTCCTGAGGCGGCGGCCGCAATCAGAGGAAGAACGCCCATGTACGGTAGGTCCCTGCCGTGTCGACCAACGGCGACCCCAGCGCGGGCGTTTCAGGTTGAACGCCGCCCGTCGCCCGGTTTCTGGAACGGCAGATCGTTCAAGTTTGAGCGATCCCCGCGGTGTCAGGAACCCACCCCGGGGTCGGCGCGACACGAACCCGCTGCAGATCTAGGCCTCCCAGATGGGGTCCGAGCACGTAGATGGGGACGGAGAGTCGCGCCGCATCGCCGATGCATCGCCGATGCGGCTCGATGTGGAGCCCGATTTTCTCCGCCCTGGCGTCGCTGATGCATCGCCGAGGCATCGCCGATGCATCCGGCGCAATCCTCCGACCCCAGCTACAGCCAACGCGGACAGTTCAGGATGATCCCTTCTCCAAGCTTACCCCCTTGCATCCTCCCCCGTGGGGCCCATCCTCGGCCGCTCCCGCTCGAAGAGCGTCGACACGGCCTCCCAAGGCCCTGGCATCCTCATCCTGCAGCACGCGTTGACGAAGCCCTGGCCCCATCCAGGAGGCCCCTCAGAGCCAAGACCACGCCGCCGGAGATCTGGGGCCCGGCCCCCCTCCGAGCCTCGGGCTCGACGGCTCGGCGCCCTGCCGCGCCTTCTGGGTGCCGGGTTGCCTGGAGGCGCCGGCATCGACGGACCACTCCCTCGGATGCTCGTCTGGGGGGCCTCCTGGAGCCCACCTGCGCAGGCATGCCTGGCGTCCTGGCCAAGAGTCACGGCGGGAGGTTTCCGGCCGTCGTCGGCCTTTGGGGGCCATCGTCGGGCTCCGGGGCCGTCGGCAAACGGTTCCCGGCGCAAAGTGAGCTCTGTGCACAGGGTCGAGAGCTTCGGGCCCTGGGGAAATCAGGACCTCGCATGTCTGGGTAATTAGCGGATCTGTTCGGCTCTAGGCTGACTTTAGTTTGGCGCTAGTTCGATTCAAATTGACGGACGTTGGACGCAGCATCGACGCATGTGAGCGGAGCGAGTGGCTCCTGGAAGGTCTCCAGACCGAGCATGAAATATCCCCATGCCTCCCCATCGGGTAAACGTTTTCCTTGCTGGCCGTCCTACCTTCCTGCAGGTAGGAATAGATGCCCTTTCCGTCGGCTTCGGTGGCGCCTGGTCCCCAGCCAGAGGCGGTAGGCTGCATGGTGGCGATCAGGAACCCTTGCACGCAGGGGATGGGGGTGAGTATCACAATAGTGAAGGTCCCAGAGCTCCCGACCATTCTTTTGCTTTCCGTCGTTGCACTTCCTCTTCGCGCACTGCAGCCTTTGCCCCAGCCCCTGGGTGCGGCCGCGACGCCGCCCCGCGCCCGCTGCCAGGGGTGCAGAGCGGGCTGGCCGCTCCGGCCGCTCCGCGGCGGCCCCCGCCGCGTGAGCGCCTTCCCTCCTCCCCCCCCCGCGTAGGAGGAGGAGGAGGAGGAGGAGGAGGAGGAGGAGGAGGAGGAGGAGGAGGAGGAGGAGGAGCCCCCCTGGCCGCTTCCTCCTTCCCCTTTTTCCGCTCCTGCTGCCGGAAAGTTCGCGATGCGCCCCCCGGGCTTGCCCGGGCGCGCGTGCGGACTGCCCCTGCTGCGCTGCGACGCCAGAGGTTCTCGATGGCTGGCCCCCCCCCCCCCCCGGGACCGGGGCCCGAGAGCGGCCCCCCCGGCGGCAAAAACTGTGATCTCCGGCGGCCGTTCGGGACGGACGGGCGACAGGGGCACCCTTGGGGCTCTCTCATGGCGGGGCGCCGCAGCTGCTGGAGAGCAGCCCGAGGCTGGAGCAACGCCGAGAACCGACGAGGACGTTCGAGACCTTGGAACCTGGGGGCCGCCCCCTCCTCCCTCCTCCTCCTCCTCCTTCCTCTCCTCTCTCCTCCTCCTCCTCCTCCTCCTCCACCTCCTCCTCCTCCTCCTCCTCCTCCTCCTCCTCCTCCTCCTCCTCCTCCTCCTCCTCCTCCTCTCCTCCTCCTCCTCCTCCCTCCTCCTCCTCCTCCCTCCTCCTCCCCCTCCTCCTCCTCCTCCTTCTCCTCCTCCTCCTCCTCCTCCTCCCCCTCCTCCTCCTCCTCCTCCTCTGCCTTTTCCACCTCCTCATCAGGGGGACATCTTTTCACTTCGAGCCGTTTGTGGCGGCCCCAAGGCCCGGCAAGGGCCTGTGGAGGCTTCAAACAGTGTCCGGAGCCTCCCGTCGTGATGTCTTCGCAAAGGGAGTGGTCCGGAGGAGAAGAAAAAACCCACGCAGACACAAATTTTCGTCGATTCCCAGAAACATGTTTGGGAAAAGATGAGAAGTGGGGGTGGGGAAGACGAAAACCCAGAAGGTATGAGAAAATATGGGGGATCCTGGGATTTGTGTCTACTTATTTGTGTGTCCCTGGCCCCTTCAGGAAGGGGTCTTGGACCGTTCCTCGTCCATCCCCTCTCTCCCGACCCCGCGCGAGGCGGGGATTTTCCCACCACCAGCGCCTGGGGGATCGATGTTCGGGGGCCTCGGCAGCCGGTGGATGTCTGCTCTCACATCTCTATATAATATGTATATAATATTTCATAATGTATATATATATATATATGTATGTATATGCATATGCATATGCATGTAGTCATGTGTATATATATATATATATATATATATATGTTTATATAGCATGCAGGGCGTTGCAAAAAGGGCCTTGCCTTCGAGGATCGAAGGAGCTGCCGTCTCTTCCGCGGCGGAAGGGCGGCGGAAGGTCGGCGGAAATAAAACGAGGCGGCCTCCGCCGGCGGAAGCTTGCTGAAGAGCGGCGGAAGCTGGCGGAAATGAACAGTTGCCATCCAAGAGATGACAGCATTTTGGGCTCAGGGTGTCCGAACTCGGCCGTGTGTGTATATATATATATATATATGTACATACATACATACAAGACTGCAGTGGCGCTTCGCGCCATGCACCTTGGTCCTTGACGTTTGGCATGCAGGCGGAATAGCAGGAAGGTCAAGCCGACGATTTAGCGATAACTCCTTCTTGCCTTTTCCGGTATCGCCGCTATAATCATGTTCTTCGTTATCCTTCCTCCATGTTTCTTTTTCTTCATGTTTGCCATACCCTGCGCATTCTCCCCATCCTCCTCAGCTCTTTTTGTGCGGAGGCTCCTCCTTGGAGAGCCTCTGGGGGCCTCACAAAAGTTGTTTCAGGCTTTCTTGGGGCATTATGGAGGCCTCCTGGGCGTATTCTGGGGGCCTCTGGGGGCTTCCTCGGGCCACCCTGCCTCCAACCGCGGTCTCCCTGAACGACAGGGTCACGATTTGGAATGCTTCGGAGGGCGTCTTGGGGCCACATTGGGCCGCCTTGGGGCTCTCTGAGGGCCATCTTGGACCCTTGTTTTGCCGTTTTGGGGCTCTCTTGGACTGCCTGGAAGCCCTTTCGGATGGTTGTGGGGCGATTTGGGAGCCTCCCAGGCGGCTTCGGACGCCCAGAAGACCGCCGTCCTGGAGCGTCGGGAAGCCGAAAAGAGGAGAACCCCAACATTCACAAAAAAAACCAACAGAAAATCATTGATTTTTGCATGGGGCCTTCTTGGGAGTGCTCTTGGAGGCCTCTTTGGGGCCGTCCTGGAGGCCTCTTGGGCCATCTTTAGGTCACGTCGGTCACTCTTGGAGCGCTCTTGTGCTGTCTTGGGGGTCTCTGGGACGTCTCCGATGACCCCCCTGATCGCCCTAGTTGTGCTGGGAAGGCTTGGCAAAACGCCCTGTGAGGCCCGAGGGGCCGCTTCGAGGCCCGTCCGGAGGGTCCCAAAGCCCCAGATCCTGGGAGTCCGGTTTTGGGGGGCGGCGGGGGGGGGGTCCCCCCGCCCGGGCTTATAAACATATAGGAAGAGGAATATATCAGAGTGAGGAGGCCGAATGGTCATTCATTGTCCCTGGCTGCGTGGCTGAAGTGGGGATCCGTGGTGAGGATTCTGCTTGTTGCCTTGTTGTTGTTGCTGGTGCTGTTGTTGCTGATGTTGTTGTCGGTGTTGTGTTGTGTTGTTGTTGTTGTTGTTGTTGTTGGTGGTGGTGGTGGTGTTGTTGTTGTTGTTGTTGTTGTTGTTGCTGTTGTTGTGGTTGCTGTTGCTGTTGCTGTTGCTGTTGCTGTTGCTGTTACTGTTGTTGTTGTTGTTGTTGTTGTTGTTGTTGAACACTATTACTTCTAAAGAATTATTATTGTTGGACCCCCTGGTGCACGCCCCCCGCCCAAAACCTAGGCCGCAGCTACATTTTCATCATTTTTCTGCGAAAGCTTCAGAAAAGTGGATTACCCCCGGATCCGGTTTTTTGTTGACGCTCGTTTTCCCTTGCAAAAAACAATAGAAAATGAAAATTCTTGTTCTTAGTTGATCAAATTTCAAGAATCCCTTGCAAAAAATAAGGTAAAGTGGACATTCGCGCTCGCAAGACGAAATCCTTCCAAAACCTTAGGTTTCGTAGCGATTTTAACATAAAAACATCAAAAACCCAATGGTTTTTTAAGAAAAAATGTCAAAATGTCCTTCCGCGCGCTCTTGCGGATTCATAGGAAACACACCACTTTTTAAACATTTCTGTCAAAAGGGTCTTTGCGTGCTACTTCTTCAGGTGCTTTGAACTTCTCCAACAACGGTTGCGCGCCTGCGAGGGCCACCATCCCTTGCAAAAAATGAGACGAAGTGCACATGCGCGCGGCCGCCGCGCGCGCATGTCGAAATCCTGCCAAACACAATGGGTTTTCAATAATTTCAAGATGCGATGTTCAGAAAACATATGAAAACGCACTACTTTCTCATCCGAAAAATCTCGAAATCCATTCGCGGTCTCTTGATGAATCTTTAAAACCCAAGATGGCCCCAACAGGCGCGCAAGATGGCCCCAAGAGGCGTCCATGAGGCCCAAAGAGGCGCCCAAGATGGTCCCAAGAGGCTTCAAGAGGACTCCAAGAGGCCCCCAAGAGGTTCCAGAGAGGCTCCAAGGTGGCTCCAAGAGACCCCCAAGATGGCCCCAGGAGGCGTTCTAGAGGCCCCAAGAGTCCGCCGTGAGGGTCCAATAAGCCCCCAAGAGGCCCCAAGATGGTTCCAAGGAGCCCCCCAAAGGCTCTCAAGTGGACCCCAAACCGCGCCAGGAGGCTTCCCCCCTTCCCCAAGAGGACCCCAAGCGGCCCCAGGAAGGCCCCCGACTGCTGACGCACATATCCGTAGCCATCTCGGATCAAGGTATCGCCTGTGTTCTTGGATCATGGCTTTGACGGCGAAAGACCTTCACGAGCAGTATGGCCCTGAGCTGTCGCGGCCTCCCTTGGCCGACTGCGAGAGTGCGTATTATTTGCATCAGGCGCTCCGGGCAAAGGGTATCAATGCTAGTCACCAGGCGTGCAAGACTTGGTGGGCCAAGTATCGGGTTGTGACTGGCACGGTCAGTATTTCTAGCGCCAAGGAGCTGGAGGAGCAGCACGGCTCTGCCATCCGCCACCTGGGCATTGAGTATAATACCGCTTTCAAATTATGCCGGGCGCTCCGACAGTTGGATCCACCACTGTATGTGCCAGATAGGGTCGCAACGGCGTGGCTACTGCAGTATTCATCCAAAGACACGCTTGTCCAAGTGCAGAACGCTGGCCACTTGGAGACCTGGTATGGAGAACGTATTCGCAAAGACATGCCCGAGGGGACC